GCACATAGACTCCTTAATGAATTTTTCCAGGATTTTCCCCGGGATAGAAGTTAGGCTAATTGGCCTATAGTTACCCAGGTCCTCCTTCCTCCCCTTTTTGTGGATGGGCATGACATTGGCCCTCTTCCAGTTCTCAGGGACCTCCCCTGAGCACCATGAGTTTTGCCAGGGGTTCCATGATGACTTCGGCCAGCTCCTTCAGCACTCTCGGAGGAAGTTCATCTGGTCCTGCTGACTTAAAGATGTCTAATTTTTTTAATTGATTGCACACCAGTCTGACATCAGTAGTAGGAAGGCGGTCATTCCCACCATGCACATTCTGTACTCTATCTAGCATGATTTTCCTCTTGGTCCAGTGAAATACCAAAGCAAAGTAGTCATTCAGAACTTCAGTTTTCTCCTGAGTGTCAGTAACCAGCTGTCCTGAGTTGTTGAGCAATGGCCCCACACTTCCATTTGTTATCCTCCTGTTCCCTACATACCTAAAGAAGGACTTCTTATTGTCTTTGATTTCAATTGCTAATTTAACTTCAGCTGCCGCCTTAGCCTTCCTAATCTGCTCCCTACACAGCCATTATATGGTCCCCCTTGAGACCTATACAACAGCTGTGCAAGCCGTTGTTGTGTAGTCCCCCTTGAGGACTGTCCCAAGCTTCCACTGTTTGTAAGCCTCTTTCTTCTTTTTCAAGAGGACTATGATTTCGCTGTTTAGCCAGTAGGGCTTCACAGCCCTTTGCTACCCTTCCTCTGTATGGGAATGGAATTCTTTTGTGCTTCAAGGATTGTGTCCTTAAGAAACGACCACTCTCCATGCACTCCTTCTACCTCCGGTCCTTGGTCCCACAGCACTTCCCCTACTGTTGTCCTGAGCTTGCTGAAATTGGCATTTTCGAGGTCCAAAACTTCAACCGTGCTAATTTTCCTGCCTTGCAACGGACAGTGAACGTGATGGTTTTCTGGTCACTATCACTGATTTCCCTCTATATTCAAGTCAGTCACCAGATTGTCTCCTTTGGGGGATCAGGGATCCTGATTATCTCTTTTAAAAAATCCAAAATTATCTGATAACTGCAGAAAACCATGGATTTTGGACTTTTTAACATTAAACTCCACTATGTATGTATCAGTTGAACACAATGTTTTATTGATATATTTAGTTTTAAAGTAATTTGGAAGCTTCCCAGTGCCTTAATCATAATACTAAAACAAATTCTAAATACCTCTATATTTTGGCATTGGATTTTTTACCATGGAAAATCAGAGCTCTCCCTTAGCTCACCAGATGTGTGTCCAGCTACAGCTGATCCTTTGATACAAGCACCTGAGATGACTGTTAAGGTTTTGCATTGGAGAACAAAAATGCCATAAAGCTGATGGCACTTTTTGAAGACTTTGGAAGAAAAAGCCTCATCCCCAGTATTGCAGACAATATGAATGTGTGAAGAAACATACAAACTGTCCCCTTTATCATCTTACTTCTATGCTATTAGGGTTTGTGGGAGGATTGAGTGCACCTTGTGACCACACACACTGCCAGTCAACACAGCTGTTGTGGGCTAGAGTGCTAGGAAAGCGGTAATGGGGGTCCTCAGGACTGGGGCTGGTGTGTGACTCACAGGATATGAGATGTGAGCTCTGCATGTAAGGCAGGGGGCTCCTGAGTGGGGTTTGTAGTGGGGGGAAGGTATGGGTCATGAGGGGGAGTAGTGGTGGGGAGGCTGAGAGGGCTGTAGGGGTAGGACAGGGGCACCCTACAGGGAGGGCAGGGTCCCATGGTGGGTGCTGTGTAGTGGGGCAAGGGACTCCTGAGAGGCATGACTGAGTGCCAGACCCCTCCTGCATGGGGTAGGAGCTATGTTTGGGTGGGGAGCCAGGGACCTGTGCGGGGCTAGGACACTCAGCCCCTCATTTTGAGAGGGGGGCTGTCCCTGTGGGCTGCAACTGCCTGAATTGTGGGCTTGGGCCCAGCCCTAGCCTGCCGTGCGGGGACAGGATGATTGCCCAGCATTACAGCACTTGCAGCAGGGCTGGGTCCTAGCAAGGGAATGCTACCCAGGTTCTCCCACACCGGCCTGAGAGTGCCCACAGACCTTCCCTGCTCCTCCAGTCCCCATCCACACACCCCTGCCACTCCTTCCCCCTCCCCCCCAGCAGTGTCACCCACACCCCCATACCCTGCCAGCTCTCCCTGAAGTTCCCCTTCTCCCTCCAGCCCTGGCAGCATAACCGACACTGGACTTAGGGGCCCCTAGCTGCCACCTACCCAAACCCTACTTGCCCCAAAGGTTGCAGGAGGGAAAGTGAGTCTGAACCAGACCTTAACTCAGATTCTCAGGCCCAGGCCCAGGCCCTGCCCTCTCCCCCTCCCCCTTGAGACAAGGCATAGGGTTTCCAACCCTTTTTGCAAGCAGCTCTTGGAGGCTGGAATGCTGCCAGCCTGGGGAGAGCTGTTTGCAAAAGGGGAAAATCCATGTTTTTCCACAGGAACTGGAAAACCCAGATCTGTGCTAATGATGAAATCTGAGAGGAGCCTGAGTGTTTAGCCAAGCTGCATTCTTCCATTTAGTGTATTTGAGAGACTTGCAGAACTGCTTCCTTTGGAGGCTGTGCCTTTTCAGAGAAGGCCTTTAACAACTGCTCTTGAAATCACCCAGTGAAAGTAATGCTGCATGTATGAACCCAGCAAGAGAAACTGGTTTCTATCTTGTTCTGTGGGTGGGTAGGCAGGCTGCTTTTAAAACACAATAGCCTGAGCACAAAAAATCCACTCAGTTCTTAGTAGGCAAACAAGCAATACTGGATGGCAAGGCTGTTGCTCCTCTTTTCATTAGGAGCACCAGGCCATATTCTATTAAAACAGCCTTCTGGGTCATCTTGATCTAGGGCTGCCACCTGCAGCTAAAGGAAAAGGTGCACCTAGCACATGCTAGATTGCCCACCCCTGGTTTAAGCTAAGCCTGGCCCGCAGGCCAGATCAAGCCCACAGTAGATTCCATTTCCTAGCAAGCAGGACCAGGGTTTCCATGAAGACCAGCCCCAGCAGTGCTGGCAGGGCGCATGGCTGGGCTGGGATCTTGTGGTGATGACAGTATGGTCCAGAGCTGGGGCAGAAATATGATCTGCTGCCCACATAGCCTGGGCTCTATCCCACCCCAGGGTCCCCATGGAAACTGGCTGCAGCAATATGGCCAGGGGCTGCTGGGAAATGGAGTCTGGCTGCCCACCAGATCCACCCTTGTGCCCATCCGTGGCCTAAACTAATTCAGACTTAGCCTCTAGGACCTCAGCTTCTTTCTTTGCTCTTGCAGCAAAGGAGTATGTGTTTTGTGGTGATGAAAACGGAAGTGTGTGGATGTACAACCTCAGCAACCACTCGGCATGGACCACTGCTGCAAGAAGAAAGCGCTCAGACAAGAGCATAGCTGCCACACAGGTAATGCATGGGCTTTTCCTTTTAGTGCTGAATAGGATTTGCTGTGCAAACGGGGTATCTGGCACAGGTTGAAGGCAGAATAGCCTTTTACAAGCTGCAATCACTCCTGGTGCATGTGAATGTGGTCAGGAACTTTTTGAACAACTGAGACTGCTCTCCGATTCCAAGTCAGCCACAAGAGGAAGGAAGTACTTAAAGTGGAGCACAGTTGTAATGAAAGGGTTCACCTCAGCATGATCGCTACAGCCCAAAGTTCTGACTTGAAAAGACTCAGCTGGTAGCTTTAGCAGTGATCTTCCTCCATGGGATAAGTAACAGAGTTCAGTTGTCTTAAACACTGAACTCAAAAAACTTTCAATAAATCAAAACTTTAAGTCTAATGATACCAAAAGCAAAGGGGTGTAGTTATAGACAACAGAAAGGCAGCCAGTAGCTACTAGCAGCAAGGCATTCACTGAGACTAGTTTCTAAAACGTGGACAAAAATCTGTAACACGTACAGATTCCCTGAATTATTACATCAGGCTTAACACTCTTAGCCGGTAGCATCTTGTTTTTCTTACTGCAGTAATGTGCCTTCCTAGACAGACCCAAACTTGATCCATTTCTTTTGCTAGATTCTCAAATGGCCAGAACTTCGAGCAAACGGCGAAGTGCTGACTGACGTCTTAATAAACAACGTGATAACAGATCCTACCTTCACTTATCTCGTTGCTTTAACTAGTGTGAACATAGCAGCTATTTGGAAGAAAACATAGCTTGCTGTTTGATGACAATTTTCACTCCCATAGTTGGAAATAGTGCAGTATTAGTGACTGTTTACCAGTGTAATCATGACGTTTTCTAGAGAGCCATTGTCATGCAAGCAGTACATATTCTGTCATTATAAACATCCCGTTTCTTTTACTGAGAATTTCCACAATTTGTGTATTTGTTTTATAGAAATGACACTTAATAAAACTTAATACCAGTTCACTTGGCAATGCAGAGGTGGCTTTTTGGGGATGGACAGAAAGAGTGCTACAAGAATATACTTACTTCCATGACTCAATTACTTTCATTTTAGAAGTCTAGGTACTGGGACATATTCACTCAAATTTATAAAATTTCCATGTATAGAATCTAATGTTAGCAGAGTCATTTTTAATTCATCCCCCCCAAATAGAGGCAGGTGGCATGGGGGAGGCTAAGCAGCTTGCCTCTTTCATGTGCCTGTCCCTGTGCCTGCCCCTTTTCCCCCCACAGCCTCAGGTCACCCCTCCATCTAGACTGCTCTCCAGGAGCAGGTTCCATCCCCGTTCTAGCCTGGGGTACTCGAGGCTCCATCCCCATTCTAGCCTGGGGTACTTGGCATAGTCCCAGCTCAGCCCCTATGCTTAGTGCCCTAGGCTAGCATGGATGGAGCCTGCCAGCTCAGAGCACGTGTAAGGGGGAAGGGGAGAGAAGCTGCTTAGAGCAAGCTTGCCAAGTCTTGCACTGAATCAACCCCATATAAATACGTTCAACTAAATAGCCACACTACATAATAATGAAAATAAACCTATACAAAATCCAAAGTCAAAGAACAGTCCACTTGAAGCTTCATGTTTATTCAATTCCTTCTTGTTTGTCTTTGATGGCAACCTGTAAAATGAAAGAAAAATTACTGTTATTAAGGAAGTCGGTATTAATGTCTGTATCAGTAAGAGATCTCACTTATTTCTTCTCAAAGTGCAATTTAAGGATCAAGAAGTTAAAGATGAGTAAAGCAGGAACATAAATTACTGTAAGAGAACTATTTCAAACTGAAAAGATTATTTTTAATGAACTATTGCTTAGCTATGAAAGAGTGGTATTTAAAGCAGAAGCATAAATACCTGCCTCCATTGATGCCTGAGGGAGAAGCCTCATTCTACACATCCATCATTTTTAATTATGGGAAGAAATTTGCATGATAAAAAGAATAAGTTAGAGGCTTTCCTACCTGCTGGCTGCTTTATTCTCTGACACTGCTATCAGGAGTTATGACTCAGCTCCTATCTACTTATTCTTTAGCAAAGTACAGGTTTATTTTGAAACAAGGATCAAGTAAAATTTCATCCCAGCTAAAGCAGCTGAGAGACTTCCTAGTATGGAAAAGAAATTAAGACTTGAAAGAACAAGAACTCTTCCTTTCAGACATGTATGAGAATCTGTTGTCTAGAACAGCCTATAGTGATAAGAGTATGGAGAGAGAGAACCTATGCTGACAATGAGGGAGGGAAACAGAATCAAACATTTGGGAGGATATAAGCAAGTTGCAATTACTTCTGCAGTCCTTGGCTTCAGGAAAACTAACTTTAACAAGCTCAGGAAGCTTGGCAGTGAGGCTTTAAAGGGCCACAACCCAAAGGGGAGGGGAGTTCAGGATGAGTGGTTGCTCCTCAAAGGAGCAATCCTGGATGCCAAAGCAGAGTCTATTCCGTATCAGAGGAAAGGCAGCAAAAGGGCATAAGCTCTCCAGGGAATTAGCAGACCTAAAAAGAAAGACCTACAAAGGATGGAGGACTGGATCCACCTCCAAGGAGGAATACTCTTCACTGATCTGGGCTGCAGGGAGCAAACCAGGAAAGCCAAGGCTGCGACGGAACTCCAACTAGCTACAAGTATCAAGGACAATAAAAAGTCCTTTTTTAGATATGTGGGGAGCTGGAAGAAAAGCAAGGGCAACATTGGACCCCTGCTAAACCTGATGGGACAACTGATGTCCAGGAAAAAGCCAACCTGCTAAATGGGTACTTTGCGTCAGTCTTTCACCAGTCCCATGGGATGCCCCTGCCCATTACAGGACAGGGAGACCTGGGTGAGGGAGATTCCTTACCCTCCATCAATGCTGACCTTTTGAAGGAACACCTAGAGAGGCTGGACACCTTCAAGTCAGCCGGCCCCGACAGGTTACACCCCAGGGTACTCAAGGAGCTGGCGAGCATCATAGCTCAGCCCCTGGCACGGGTCTTCAAGAACTCCTGGTGCTCTGGTGAAGTGCCTGAAGACTGGAAGAAGGCCAATGTGGTGCCTATCTTCAAGAAAGGGAGGAAAGTGGATCTGGCAAACTACAGGCCCATCAGCCTGACCTCCATCCCGGGGAAGGTCTTAGAAAAGATTATCAAAGAGGCCATCCTTAATGGACTGGCCAATGGCAACATCCTGAGGGATAGCCAGCAGAGGTTTGTTGTGGGTAGGTCCTGCTTGACCAATCTTATTTCCTTTTATGACCAGGTGATCTATCAAAGGAGAATAGATTGAGGTTGTATATCTTGACTTCAGAAAAGCCTTCGATCTGATATCCCATAATCACCTCTTGGCAAAACTGGCTCAGTGCAGCCTCGGCCTCACCATGATCCGCTGGCTGAGGAGTTGGCTCTGTGGTCGGACCCAGAGGGTGGTGGTTGATGGAAGTCAATCACTGTGGTACCCTGTAACCAGCGGGGTCCCTCAAGGCTCTGTTCTTGGGCCAATACTATTCATCATTTTCAGACATTGGTATCAGAAGCGGACTGGCCAAGTTCGCCGATGACACCAGACTCTGGGGTAAAGTGTCCACACCTGAGGACAGGAGGGTGATCCAGGCTGACCTTGACAGGCTCAGGAAATGGGCGGACAAGAACCTGATGGTGTTTTGTTTAACACCAAAAAATGCAAGGTTCTCCACCTTGGGAGGAAAAACCTGCAGCATGCTTATACATTCGGCAGTGCTACGCTGGCTAGCACTACAGACGAAAGGGACTTGGGGGTCATGATTGACCACAAGATGAACATGAGCCTTCAATATGATATTGCCACTAGTAAAGCAAGCAAAACGCTAGCTTGCATCCATAGATGCTTCTCAGACAAATCCCAGGACGTCATTCTCCCACTGTACTCGGCCTTCGTGAGGCCGCAGCTGGAGTACTGCATCCAGTTTTGGGCTCCACAATTCAAAAGAGATGTGGAGAAACTTGAGAGGCTACAGAGGAGAGCCATGCACATGATCAGAGGTCAGGAAAACAGACCTTATAAAGAGAGGCTGAGAGCCATGGGACTCTTCGGCCTAGGAAAGTGCAGGCTCAGGGGTGATCTGGTGGCCACCTATAAGTTTGTTGGGGTGCTCACCAGGATCTGGGGGAACGTCTGTTCACCAGAGCTCCCCAAAGGATGTCGAACAGTCACAAAGTCCTCCATGACCGTTTCAGGTTAGACATAAGGAAGTACTTTTTTACTGTCTGAACCCCCAAAGTTTGGAATAGACTGCCACCAGAGGTGGTTCGAGCACCTACTTTGAACGCCTTCAAGAGACATTTGGATGTCTATCTTGCTCGGATCCCATGATCCCTGCTGACTTCCTGCCCCTGGGGCAGGGGGCTGGACTTGATGATCTTCCAAGGTCCCTTCCAGCCTGAATGTCTATGAAATCTGCACAAACGTCCCACAGTAACAACTATATTTTACCTTGGCTTCACAAAAACTGCATGGGTACCAGAACCAAATTCAGCCAAGACTAATCAAATTCTCTGACAGAGACCGCTGGCTAAGAGTAAATTTTCCTTTTTAAAATCAGTAGCTTTTAACTGCCATAGTTTTCTATTGGGGGTGGGGGCCAGCCTTCTGTAGAGATGCTGCAGTTTAGCAAAATAAACATGCTTACCCTGAACCTCTCCTCCAGAAGGGAAAGTTCACTGATCAGGTCTGTGATGGCATTGGTGAAAGCTTCCTGAGGACTATAATCAGGAGTGGTTTGAACTCGAATGATAATTTTGTGCTCAAGAGGATGTGGTACTTTGTATCCTGCAAACAGCACCTGCGGGTCTTTCAGTAACTGCCTAAAATGGGAGAGAAAGTTTTTATTAGAACAGGGGTGGGCAAAGCCCAGCTCATGGGCCAGATGAGGCCCATGACAGAGTCCATTTTCCAGCGCCCCTGTGGCGGCAGCTCCTGGGTGCCATTGCTGGACTCAGGTCTGCTGCCCAGTGCCCAGGCCTGTTTGCCCCTCCCCGCCCCCCTGCACCCACTGCTGGGGGCAGGACCTGTGTGGGCAGGGCATGTGGCCAGGAGCAAGATGGGAGGGTAGAGCTGGGGCAGAGCTGCGACCCACTGCCCACATGCCCCTTTGGCAAGCGCGGGTTCTGTAGGCAGGTAGCAGATTGTGGCTCTGCCCCGGCTCTGACATTGCATCATCACCACTGCAAAATCCCAGCCCTGGAGCAGCTCTGTGCCCAGCCATGTCTTGCCCATGTCACTGCCAGCTGGTCTCCATGTAGAACCCTGTGACAGTGCAGGGCAGAGCCCCAGAGACTGGATGCTGGCTGGATCCACCATTTTGCCCACTCCTGACTTAAACTGCTCGACCCCTGCCTTGCATCCTTTATCTACAGAAAGTTTGCAAGATCCTAAACTATGCAGCTGTGCTGCTGGGACAAATGTTGCTCACTCAACATCATCAGATCCCACTTTTTTTTTTGGGGGGGGGGGGGGGGGGGTGAAAGCAAGACAAAAAGAGAGGGACCATATTTGCTCTAGATTGATCAAACTAAATCTCCATATCCAAATCCCTGTCAATGCATTTCATAAAACCTATGCATGCTGGAACACTGACAGGTCCTAGTCTGAAAGCTGAAACAGGAGTACAGGTTTCCTTCACTTTATGCTGTACATGTGTTTCCTGGAAAACGGCACAACTTGAATTCGCATAAAGGGAACCCACTTTACAATGTAACAAATAGGGATACGTTCCAAGACCTCAACTGCACTGACCCCCAGACCGATTTCTACCACTTTTACAAGACAAATTTGGTACCAGGCTGGGTGGTGGGACAAGCAGAGGCCCGGGGGGCACATGCCCTCCAGTTTGTGCTCCAGTTTGTGTGGAGGCAGCTGCCGCTGTGCTTTGAGCCCCGCTGCCCTTGGAGCTGTGCGATGCAATGCGATGCGATGCGATGCGTGTCCCACCACCGGGGGTGCAGGGGGTGTGGGGCAGCTGCAGCACGGAGCAAAGCGCTCAGGCTTCCACTACGCCAGTTGCATAAGAGTGAATTTACCTTACATATAACGAATTTTTGGTATAAAAAGGGTCATTGCATAAGAGTGAATTTGCACGTACAGACCCTGCATAAAGCGAGGGAAACCCGTAATGCAAATGATGAAGGGTGGCAGAGCTTCTGAGGGCACATCATCATGAAGTAATTTATGTAGGCCTGTACACTGATGTAAACTACACTGGATGGTCATGGAGGGGCCCAATGCTTACAACCATAGGAGAGCATGTAGTAGTTTGCCTTGAATATGATCCCTGCTGACTTCCTGCCCCCGGGGCGGGGGGCTGGACTCGATGATCTTCCGAGGTCCCTTCCAGCCTGAATGTCTATGAACTAACTTGCCCTTGAGTAAGCTGTGGACAGACATTTAAGCCTGTGCAACTACATAGGAGTCACACAACAGTTTCTGGCACAGCATTTCTCAACCCACGAGTGGGTTGCAAGAATATACAAAAGGGTCACGAGCAATCTTTAAAAACGGATTCTCCTGTAAAGGAGACAACCCTGGCTTTTCCCTCGCAGGCTGGCAGACTTCCAGCCTGCACGGGGCTGCTTGGGGCCCCCGTGCCCCACACCCTGGGGGTCAGGACTGGCCGTCCACGTTTACAAATGGGTCCTGCCTGGGACAACGAGTTGAGAGCCACGGCTGTAGCGCGCTGGGTGAAGTGGCCGCGTTTCAGGCGGCAGCACAGCACCCATTGGGCACCCCCGCACCAGTGTAAATAAGTGTGTCGCTCCCAGAGCAATTAATTACTGCCTGGTGGGCAGTGACACTGAGCAAAGAAAGCACAAGGGTGTGAGCTGGGACCATTTTCACCAGACCCCGCACAGAAAAGCCGTGGGTCCCGCAGCCCCACTTTCTGCTGCGGCTGGAGGCCTCGCGCGGCTTTCCCGAGCCAAACCGTGGTGTGTGGGGAGCACCACGTG